ACTACGACTACTACTACTACTATTACTACGACTACTACTACTACTACTACTACTACTACTACTACTACTACCACCACTACTACTACTACTACTACTACTACTACTACTACTACTGCTACTACTACTACTACTACTACTACTACTCCTACTACTACTACTCCTACTACGACAACTGATACTAACACTACTACTACTACTACTACTACTACTACTACTACTACTACTACTACTACTCCTTCTCGCGAAGCTTTCGCCGAGCTCTGAGGCTGGCACAAAGCGGACAATTCCTCTGAAGGCGATCGAAAGGCAGCAAGAGACCAGCCAACGCGCCGCCCCCAGTGGAAGAGGAAGGGAAAGGCTGGGAAAGGGGTAGGATGAGCAACCGCAGCTTCAGCAGCAGGGGTAGAGGAATAGACAAGGAGAAGGAGAAGGAGGAGGAGGAAGAGGAAGACGACGACGACGATGAGGAGGAAAAGGAACAGGAGGAAGAGGAGGAAGAGGAGGTGGCTCAGAAGGTCCGCACTGGGACTGCGGACATGATTCAGTGGGCCTCACGGCTGGAGGCTGGACCACAGCGGCGGAAACGGCAGCCCCCAGCGCTCGGGCGGGAATCGTGTTCTGGGCGAGGTTCAGAATACGACTCCCGCTCAGGCCCTGGCGCCATTTCGGGCCTCCGCGGGGGTGGAGCAGGCAAGCCAGGAATGCGCCCAGAGTGCCCCCCTTGGTGGCGGGCTTTGCTGAAGAATCGTGCATTGGGCTTAACAAGCTCGACCTGCTGACACGGCTATATGCGATCAGTTGCTGAGCCGCCACCAGCACGGCCACGGGCGAACAGAACAGATCATGGCCTTAGCTGTACGTATGAAATCAGCAGCACTACTCGGAAGATCGTGTCATCGCGCAGCTTCGCAGGCACTAATCCCAGACGCTCGGCGAGTGGAGCAGCCAAAAGTGGGTCGATCCCTGCCGCCGAGATACGCTTCCAGAGCGGGCCGCAATGGACGTAGTGCGACTGGGTATCGGATTGCTCGGAACACACGAACAGACATGGCCTAACAGCTCTGGTCGAGCGAAGGGAAGGCCGCCACCAAGTCGAATGCGATGAGCATCGCATGGTCGTAAGCGACGGGGTCCGCATATGCAGGCCAGCCCCTGGCCCGCGCCAGCGCGACGATCTGCATGACATTGGCCGTCAGATGCCAGCCCTTCGAAGCCTCGCTGGTAGCCTTGAGCATGTCTCGCCGCTGATGGGCGGATGGCCCCGTCGCAGCTCGCCGCCAAGATCTTCGCGCCAATGGTACTGAGCTACAGCGGGCGCAGCTGATCAGCGCGAGGATCGACGCATTGAAGCTGGATGGGGAGCGGTAGGCCGCAGAGGACCTGGCTCGGCGCGTCTTCCATGACGTCGAGGCCCGCCCCCGAGCTCCAGGTGCAATGCGGAAGCCCGTCGGGTCCAGGAGCAGACCGATTGGCAGCACGGATGACGGCCTCGCTTGCCCATCGGGTGGGCACGACGCAGTCGTTCAGGCCCAGGTCAGACGCGTTCCCAGCCAGGAAGCGCCCGCGGAGCGCTCGGGCAGATCCTCTGGCGTCAAGCAGCTCCGCGCGCCCACGAGCACGCTGAAGATACCGCCGCGCGAGAGCTCTCCGCGCGTGCGAGGCGTCGGCGGGGAATGCGCCGCTCCTCCCGAGGGCCCAGGCGCTGGACCTGCAGATGCCGAGCTCGGGGGGGAGGAGGAGGAGGAGGAGGAGGAGGAGGAGGAGGAGGAGGAGGAGGAGGAGGAGGAGGAGGAGGAGGAGGAGGGGGAGGAAGAGGAGGAGGAGGAGAGGAGGAGGAGGAGGAGGAGGAGGAGGAGAGGAGGAGGAGGAGGGGGGAGGAGGAGGAGGAGGAGGAGGAGAGGAGGAGGAGGAGGAGGAGGAGGAGGGAGGAGGAGTGGAGGAGGGGGAGGAGGAGGAGGAGGAGGAGGAGGAGGAGGAGGAGAGGAGGAGGAGGAGGAGAAGGAGGAGGAGGAGGGGGCTGGCTGCCGCGGCGAGAAGCTGTGGACCGCGCGAGCGGCCTCGCCGGCCAGGCTGTGGCGCTCGGCGCGCCTGGCGCGAGCGGGGAAGGCACGCCGGCGCGGCACCGCCTGCAGACAGGTACGTATGCGGAAAGATCTGGGACTGAGCGGCGGAAGATGCGATCGGGGATTCGCTGCTGGTCAGTCGGCATGAGACGCCTCGCCGCAGCGCCGTCGCAGCCGGGTGCGCGCTCCGGGATGCCCACGTTCACGAGCCCCCTGGCGTCCGCCACGGCATTGGGGCCCCAGCGCCACTGCTGCGCCAGCCGCGACAGCAAGGACACGGAGCGGCGGCCCAGGCGGGAGGCGCTCGGCACCGCGGTGCCAGAAACCCCGCGCGCTGGCGCGTCGCCGCGCACTTCCACGAAGCTGGCCAGGATGCGACCCCCGCGCTGCGCGACGTGGTCGGTGCGGGCGCAGGCACAGGAGCCGGCGAACGACGCGTCGCGGCCCACCGCGGGCGAGCGACGGCAGAGCGCAGGACGATCTTACGAGTTGAAGCCGCCAGGCACCGCGGCCTCCAGGCGCGAACTGGCACTTCGAGCGACACGTGGGCAGGCGGTCTTCGATGAGGTCGAGCTCCGACGCAGACACGCAGCTGTGGACGCAGCAGTCATCCGGCCAGAGCCCGCGAAGCCCGTGGAGTCCCTTCGCGGCAGCATGAACTTGGGACGAACGCCTCGTCCTGGAATGACGTCGGACAGCTGCACCTTCGCGCGATGTCCCAGCTTCGGGCCCAGAAACGCCACGCCGTCAGCTGCACACAAGAGATGCGAGGCGGGGATTTATCAATATCCACCGCCTTGGAACCGACTCCCTGGTGCCGCAGTGGGCGGTGGGTATGGACATGTTTGGGCCTCTGGGGGCCCAAATGTATCCATATCTACCGCCCGTCGAGATATCCGAAATCGACCCTGCAGGCGGTGGTTATGTTCAATCCCCGCCTCGGAAGAGCTTGGCCCAGGAGCCGCCGCAGGAGTCGGAGAGGTGAGCACGACGGAGAGCACGTCGCCCTTCTCGCTCGGGTCCTCCTCCTCCTCCTCCTCCTCCTCCTCCTCCTCCTCCTCCTCCTCCTCCTCCTCCTCCGCTGTCCACATCCTGGCACAAAGCACGCGGGGCCCCGAAGCGCAGCCTTGTCGCCACGGACAGCGCTGGACTGCTCTTGCTCGGCGCCGGGGCTGCAGACGATTCGCCCCGGCGCAGACTCCACGCTGAAGGCGCCGCTCCACGGCCGTGTCCGTCGGCGTGGCAAGAGCTTCGAAGTAGTGCGCGGCATGTGCCCTGCCCAGTCGCGCGGCTGCAATGACTGCGAGCGCTCCCACGGCCACGCGGCTCCGGCAGAGGATTGGCGCGTGACCGCGCAGGCGCCCAACTCCCGAGCGGGCCACAGGAAGCTTGCGCCACGAGATCTATCCTTAACTTCTGTTGTTCCCATCCTACTTAAGGACCACATCCCCGAAATAATGTCGAGCATCCCGAAAAGTGTCAAAAGAGTGTCGAAACAGTGTCGAAACAGTGTCGGACGAGTGTCACCCAGGGCCCGACACGTGAAAACCCTTGAATTTCGGTACTCTTTTGGGCGCTCGAAATGATTCCTGATAATCAAGGCTAAAGTAGGTTGGAGCATCATAATCCTTAACGTCGGTCGAGCCTCCAGCTTGTCGGGGGCGCTCAAACATGGATTAGCGATGCATGGATTCGGCGCCGCCAAATCCATGGATCGGGAGAGGTGCCATCCCCAAGATGCGGCCGGGGCCGCCTCGTTCCGCGGCGGAAATCCGTGATTCCCCATGGAAACGGGACTCGTCGCTGGTCTACGCCCCCCTTGATCCATGTTTGCGATCGCCTGAGTTTGTCGCGAGGGAAGACGGCCTTGAACTTGCCGAAGGTCTTCTTCGTGGTGAGCACTCTGCAGGCTTGGCGGGGCTGCGGTCCAGCGAGAGAGGCACACGGGGGCAGCCTGGCCGGCCGCCCACCACGGCCGCTGCAGAGAATCGGCGCCACCACTGACCGTCAGGAAGCTCGGAGGGGGAGGAGGAGGAGGAGGAGGAGGAGGAGGAGGAGGAGGAGGAGGAGGAGGAGGAGGAGGAGGACGAGGAGGACGCACTTGTTAGATGCAGCACCTTCGTGGCCTTGGAACCGACTGGAAAGGTGGCGGGCGGCCAGGTCCGTCGCCCAAGGACGTTCGGTCGGCCTGATCACTCCGTGAGCCGGGGGGGGAAGCTCTGCTGCAGACGAGAATTGTCAGGCTCGCGCCCGTGCTTGGCAGCGTCTTCGGCATCCACCCGGCCCGCCCTGCGCTCGGCGGACGCGAGCTCCTCTTGCAGGCTTTCGGACGCCTTCCAGGGCTCGTCGGCCTGCTTCGACTACGGTCGGACCCAGGACAGAAGGGCATCCCTGCAGAACACGAGACCCTCCGCAAGCCAAAACACCCAAAACATTCGAGGGTACCCTCCCCCAGGATGCACAAGAACATCCAACAAGCACGAAGAACATTACAGTGCGGGCGCGGCCGCAGGAAACCCCCGCAAGAAACCCAACCCTAAAAACCCCGCGCGCGAGGTGCACCCGCGGGGAAACCCAGAGCACCCTGAACGCAGCAGCCTCCTTGATGCCCCCACTGTAGAGCACCTCCCCGAACCGACCTCGATCTCATGCCTCGGTCCGACCGTATACGAGGAGCGGCTCCCGCAGGTCGCGGACGTCCCCCTCGAGCTGCATGAGCTTGCCCCGGGCCTCCGCGGCCTGCCCAGCGACGCCCCGGTGGGCCGACCTCCGCGCCGGCCGCCACGAGCCCGGCCTCCTGCTGCGCGAACGCCGCGCCCACCTGGGCGGTGGCCGTGCTGGCCGTCTCGGCACGGACCCTCCCCGGGCAGCCGCCGCCGCCGCCGCTGCCGGCCGCGAGGCCGCCGCCGCCGAGGGCCTCCCGGCGCTGCCGGCGGCGAGGCCGCGGGCCTGCCGCCTTACCTCGCCGCCGGCCGCGCGGCCCTGCTGGCGCTGCCGCGCGGCCGCGCGCGGCCGACCGTGTCCGCCGCCGCCGCGCGGTCCTTGCGGGCGCTGCCGTGGCGGGCGGGGGGGGGGGCCTGGGCGGGCGGAGCAGCCCGCGCGGCGGGCGGGCCGCCAGGAGCAGCCGCAGGGCCGCCAGCAGAGGCAGGAGGCGCCGCACGCACGCCGATGGGGGACTGGCGGTGCGCTGCCTCGGCATTGAGGTCGCCAAGGAGCTGGGCCGAGCCGCGGACCAGCGGCATGCACGGGGTCCGCAGGGGAGCCATGACCTTGAGCCAGAGCGGCGAACTACGGAGGGGGAGGTGGCAGTAGAGGCGGTGGAGCAGCTGCCACAGCAGCAGCAAGGGAAAGGAGGAGAAGCAGGCTCGGGAGGAGGAGGACTGGGGGGAGGACGAAACCGAGGACAGGGAGGGAAAGGAGGGAGGGGAGGGGAGGGAGGGGAGGGAGGGGGAGGGGAGGGAGCGGAAGGAGGAAGAGCGAAGGCGACAAACCTGGCCGCAGTCCCTCGGCCCTCCCCGCCTGTCCTTGGCAGTCGGCGGCTCGAGAGCCTTGCTGTAGAGCTCGACGGTGTAGTCCCCTTCCCCGCATCCCCATCTCCTGTCCTCTTTGTTGCTCCTCTCTCTCTCTCTCTCTGAATGTATGAATGCATACATATACAAATTAACATGTGCATGAACAGATAAAGACACGCGTACATAAAACAATAATTGAATAACTAGGTGCATCAATAGACTTGATTCAATAAATAGATAACTAAATGAATGAAAAACTAACTAAATGCATGCATGAATAAGCAAGTACATACATGATTATATGATATATGCATAAATGCATGAATAACTAAATATATGAGTGAATGAATGCATATGTGTACGTATACGTGTGTGTCTATACATTTAAATATAAGAAAGAAAGAAAGGAAAAATAAATAATGAAAGAAAGAAAGAAAGAAAGAAAGAAAGAAAGAAAGAAAGAAAGAAAGAAATAAAGGAAGAAATAAAGAAAGAAAAAATAAAGAAAGAAAGAACTAAATAAAGAAAGAAGAAAGAAAGAAAGAAAGAAATAAAGAATGAGAGAGAGAGAGAGAGATCCGCCATCGCGCCTCTGGCACGAAGTGGACTGCCCCAAGGCTCACGCAGCACTGAGAGGTAGACGCTGTGCTGCTTCAGCAGCGAGAATTGTAAGACTGTAAGGACCCAGACCAGTCGTGTCCCAGGCTATTCTGGGTTTTTCAGCGCTGGCACCCGTGAGTTCTCAAATGTTTCCTGCGCCTCCTGCAGACGGTGTGCCCCCAAAAATCGACCTCCCGAAGCCTCCCATCAGTCCAAGAGGGCCCCGAATCGCCGAACGATCGATCCAAGACGCCCAAGATGGCCTCAAGATGGTCCAAGGGGCCTACAAGACGCCACAAGAGGCCTCCAAGAGGCCTCCCAAGAGGGCCCCAAGAGGCACAGATCATTGATTTTCCTTCTTGGTGTTTGAAGGATCTGGGCGTTCTCGCCTTTTCGGCTTTCCGACGCTCGACGACGGCCTAAGAGGCCCCCAAGACCACCCCAGGACGGCCCAAGACGCATCCAAGAGGGCCCCAAGACGGCCTAAGAGCGCCCGAAGACAGCCCAAGAGGCGCCCAAGACGGCCCCAAGAGGGCCCCAAGACGGCCCCAAGGGGGCCCAAGAGAAGAAGCACGAACCGAAAATCAGAGCCCTCCGCCCCGGAAGTCCCCAGGAGGCCCCAGAGGCGCCCAAGAGGTCCCAAGGGGCCCCCAAGAGGCACCCAAGAGGCCCTAAAACAGACTCCAAAAGGCCTCAAAATTACCTCCGAGGCCCCCGAGAGGCCCCCCACGAGACCTGGCCCGGCACAGAAACGGAAAGAGCGCTGCAGAAACAGAAACCGAAATTACTCACACCACCGTTCGTACCGGGAACCTTGGCGTTGAGAGCTTATTACGTCACCCCTCGCTCTTGGGAGCCTTGGTGTGCAGAGATTGTTGCGTTGCGCCCGTTCCTGAGCCTTGGCTGGGACTTGGTGTCAGGAACTTGTCACGTCACTGCTCTCTTCTGGGAGCCTTGGTCTTATCAGCTTGTTTACGTCACCGTTCGCTCTCAGGAGCCTTGGTGTGAAGAGTGTTTTGCATTACCGATCGCTCTTTGGCGTCTCTGGGCCTTCTTGGGAGTCCTATTGGGGCCCTTTGGGGGGCCTCTTGGGGGCCTCTTGGGGGCCTCTTGGGGGCCTCTTGGGGGCCTCTGGGGGGCCTCTTGGGGCTTCTTGGCACCTGTGCCGCTGGGTGCCTTTGTGGCGTCCCAGGAAAACAGGCGGGTTGGCAACCCGATCGTCTCCACAGCTCGACGGGGCTGTGGGAGAGACTCTTGCCCTGTGGTTGGCCAGCCACAGTAGGTGCGGGCCCGCCGTACCACCCCTGAGAGGCCCGATGGGGTTACTCGAAGGGGTCCCCCGGCGTGGGGGGCGCGGGAACTTAAGTCCTTGGGCAGCGGGGCCTCCGCTGCTTGAGGCCGGCGGCCAAGTGGGGGTGGTGCCGGTGGCCGTGTCTCGGGGTGGCATCTCGAGGCACCTCGCAACGGCGGCGCGGATAACGCCGGGGGCGGTCCGTGCCGCCGTTCGTGTTGCGAGGTCCGACTGCATGTGAATTCATGCAGGCACCTTGGGCACCTCCCTTCGGGTTGTGTCGCCCAGGTGTTCTGTCCGGGCACAAAAAAAAGCCTCTTGGGGCTTCTTGGGGGGCTCTTGAGGCCTCCTGGGCGCGTCTTGGGACAAAAGGCTAGACTTTTCGGCTCGCGGTCCCCCTCTGGGGGCCCTCTTGGGCCGTCTTGGGCGCCTCTGGGGCCGTCTTGGGGCCCTCTTGGGCCGTTTTGGGGGCCTCTTGGGAGCCCCTTGGGCCGTCTTGGGGCGGTCTTGGGGGCCTCTTGGAGCGTCTTCAACGCCGTGAAAGCCGAAAAGCCGGGTATGCAAAAAATGTACCTTCTCCCATTGGGGGCCTCTGGGGACGCCTCTTGGGGGCCTCTTGGGGCTTCTTGGGGGGCTCTTGGGGCCTCCTAGGAGCGTCTTGGGGCGCTAGACTTTTCGGCTCGTGATCCCCCTCTTGGGGCCGTCTTGGGGCCCTCTTGGGCCGTCTTGGGCGCCTCTTGGGCCGTCTTGGGACCCTCTTGGGCCGTTGGGGGGGCCTCTTGGGAGCCTCTTGGGCCGTCTGGGGGCGATCTTGGGGGGCCCTTGGACCGTCGTCAACGCCGTAAAAGCCGTGATGATGTATATGCTAGAATGTACGTTTTCCGACGGGAAATCCATGACCTTGGCCTCTTGGGGGCCCTCTTGGGACGCCTCTTGGGCGCCTCTTGGGCCGTCTTGGAGGCCTCTTGGGACGTCTGGGGGCTGTCTTGGGCGGTCTTGGGCTCTTCTGGGACGGAGAAGGAAAGAAATCCGAAAAACATGCAAAAACCCTAAGGAAAAAACCCAAAACGGTCATTAAACCCATCCGCTCGGCCTACGCCCCCCCCTGGAACCCCCCGTTAGGGGCTTCGCCCAAAACACAACGTCATCACTCGTACCTCCCTCTTTCCGTTATCCTAACGAACATCCGATTGGCCGAAGACCATTAGATCTGCCGCCCTCTGTAGTCTTGCCACAAGGGTGCCTGGCGTGCTGAACCCTACTGCTTTTGGTCGTGGTTCTTTTGGGAAAAATCCCTCTGGGGCTTCGGCCAGTCTGGCCGGCCACCCTGAAGGCCTGGTTGCAAAAAATGTCCTGGCCCAGATGCAAGATAGCCGTCAATGGCGTCCAAGATGGCCGAGATGCCATCACGTTCGCCCAAGATGGTCCAAGATGGCCTCCAAGACGGCCCAAGAGGGTCCGAGATGCCTCCAAGTCCGCCCAAGAGGCCACCAAGACGGCCCAAAATGGCCCCAATATAGCCCAAGACGGCCCAAAATGGCGTGCGGTGTGACCCCCCGCCTGTGGACCGCCCGCTCCTTTTGATAGTGGGTTCTCTCGTGCTTGGGTTTGGACGGTGGTTTTCGTTTCTCTCACGGCCCTTTTCGGGTAACCTTCTTCCCCCCCGTCGGTGAGGACCATCTTAGGCCTCACAAGTGAGGACCGCCATCGGGCCTCTCACCCTCCGCAGCTTCCATCATAGGGGCTGCTGGAGCAAATCCCCACGATCCACACCGACGACGGACGTCGAGGACAACGACTTCGGCGACAAAGACAACGAACACGATTGGGACTACCAATACGAGTAAGCGTAGCTGCACGAGTGCGGCGGTATACGTACGTGGGAGTCGTGTAACCTCTCTAAGGGCTGCCCCTTTATAGGAGCGAGGTGTTCGACGGGGGCGTGACGCCGCGAGGTGGCGGCGGGTGCGGCGTGACTTCCCGCCTGTGGACCGCCCAGTCCTTTTGATGGTGGGTTCTCTCTTGCTTGGGCTTGGGCGGTGGTTTAAGCTTCCCTCACTGCCCTTCTCAAGTATTCTTCTCCCCCCCACCAGTGAGGACCATCATAGGCCTTACCAGTGAGGACGGCCATAAGGCCTCACACCCTCTGCAGCTCCCGTCATAGTGGCCACGGGGGGCGAATCCCCACGAACCTGGCACCGTACGTGCAGTGCCGGGGGTGGCGGCCCGTCTTCCCATCCCACCATCAGAGGGGGATGTGAAGTCACTGAAGACGGAACGGGGTGGGCACGAGTGGGCATCATAGCCGGCTCAAAATCAAAAGAGGCATCATAGCCTCATCGTTCATCTTCTCATTGTCTCCATTCCATGCGTAGCATGCTCTCCCAAAGAGGCCTCCAAGACGCGAAGAGGACAAAATAATTGATGTCTTTAGGATTTTGGGAGATTTGGGCATTTGCTTCTTTTCGGCCTTCCGACGGCCCGAGACGGCCCAAGAGCCTCCAAAGGTCGCCTCAAGATCGCCCATGAGGCCTCCAAGATAGCCCCAAAACGGCCCGAGAGGCCCCCAAGACGGCCCCAAGGAGCCCCAAGACGGCCCAAGAGGGCCCCCTAGGCGGCTTCCGACGGCGTCAGACGGGCCATGAGCCCACCAAGACGGCCCAAGATGGCTCCAAGATGGCCCAGGACGGCCCCGAAGAGGTCGCCAAGACGGCCCCAGAGGCCTCCAAGAGGACCTCCAGGGAGGCCCGAAGAGGCCAAAATCATTGATTGTCCTTACTGATGTTTGAAACAATTTGGCATTTGCTTCGTGTCGGCCTTCCGACAGCCCGAGACGGCCCAAGAGCCTCCAAAGGTCGCCTCAAGATCGCCCAAGAGGCCTCCAAGATGGCCCCAGAACGGCCCGAGAGGCCTCCAAGACGGCCCCAAGGGTGCCCCAAGACGGCCCAAGAGGAGTCCAAGACGCCCAAGATGGCCTCCAAGACGGCCCTGGAGCGCCCCCAGAAGGCCCTAAGTCGGCCCAGAGAGGCCCCCAAGACTGCTTCCGACGGCGTCAAACGGGCCAGGAGCCCACTAAGATGGCCCAAGACGGCCCAAGACGGCCCCCAAGAGGTCTCCAAGACGGCCCCGAGGCCTCCAGGAGGACCTCCAGGAAGGCCCGCAAAGGCCAAAATGAT